GAGAGAGAGAGAGAGAGAGAGAGAGAGAGAGAGAGAGAGAGAGAGTTGACATCCGGTGACATTGGGCCACAGACCGACATTGGGCAGAGATATTAAGGAGACTATGTGGAGACTTCATGAGTGATATTTGAGTTGACAACATCTCCATTTCTCCTCCTTCGTCTCTTCCCCCCTCCTCTTCATCTGTGGATGTTCGCTGGTCCGGCGCCCTTCGTCTGCACCACTGGTTAACGGGGTAAACTGTTTTCATTGCTGAAATCAGGTTTTTTTCTAGGCTTCCTGAGCCGCCCGGCCGGGCGGGCACGTCCGTGCACCCGTGCAGCTGCAGTCCACTGCAGCAGGGTTTAGAGGAGTTGAGGACAAGGTGGAGGCCAGGAGACTTACCTGTGGACTTACCTATGACACCAGAGCTTCAGCTTCGTATTCAGCACGTCTGTACCTGCATCAAGGCACCACCTTTCTGCATCAAGCACGTCTGTACCTGCATCAAGGCACCACCTTTCTGCAGGCCAACCGACGACCTTCCTCCTTTATAAGGGACGTCGGGACTACCATTACTAGGGGCCCATGTCCGATGGACCGGAGGGGGTTTATGACGCTCCATGGGGGCTGATAAGCTTCCTACCAATGCGGCCGCTGGCACCCTATTTTTGAGGGTCTACCTCGCGATACCCCACCGCAGAGAAAAGGATCATTACCCCCACCTACTAGTTCAGAACACGGTAGATTGAATCGTTCGGCCATACTGAAGGGTCGGGCCATTTCAAGCCGTGACTTAAATTTAAAACCCGAGAAAAGTCGAACCGTTCGTTCCCCCGCAAAGTCACGAGAAGTGGAAACTACAATTGAAAAGACAAAATCAAAATATAGAAAATTAGAATTCTCACCAAAACGTATTGCCACAGCAACCTGTGGCCTTTAGATCCATCGAAACCAAAATGGCGGTCTAGATTAGGGCGCAGGCCAGACGCGCGGCTTCTTCCCATCTTCTTTTCTTTTCTTTTTTCTTTTCCTTTAGCTTGATTGTGACCGCGGCTCCGCACACATCCCATGACTTTTAGGGACTCGGTGCGCAGTAGAAAAGACTGTGCCGGTCCTACTACCTTCGCGCCCCTGGCCGAGCCTGGCAGCTACCACGATCACGGCTGGTTGTGCTCTGTTGTACAGCAGGGCGCCAAGCCCGAGTGGACCAAAGGAAAGGCCAGTGGCGCACCCCCACCCTTTTGCCATGGTGAGCGCCAACTCGGACCGATTCAGGAACGGGCCGTGGACTTGGTGTGCCTGGTACACCGCGCCCTCTGACATGATACCAAACCCCCGCCCAGTGTCCTCGCTGGGCCAGAAACAGAGTAGACAGTCAGTATTAAACAGCAACAATTAGTAGTGTTCGCATTCATTTCACAGTAGCTAGATGGTGAATCTCTCATAGCAGATTAGAGCTAGCAGCTGGTTCCCCATTACCGCCGTGCAAACACTTTCCATACTTGCGGCGCACCTGCCCTGTGCGCTGCGCAGTGCGCTGTGCGCGAGCCCAAGGTGCATGCGCACACGTGCGCGCCGCACATCTGGGTGTGCCATGCGCGTTGCGCACATGTCCGCATATGCGCCAGGTGCGCACATTCTTTTTTTTCTTTTTTTTAATGTTACGTTGGAGAACACACACACACACACACACACACACACACACACACACACACTCTGGAGGATTGATGCTGGCGGCAATTAGAACTTACCTTGGATGAGCAAAATCGAATGAATCTACCGCTGGAACATGGTAATATACACTGCCATGTGTGTGTGTGTGTGTGTGTGTGAGAGAGAGAGAGAGAGAGAGAGAGAGAGAAGTAGCGATGGTGGAAAGATGATGGCAGAAGGCGGGAGAAAGTCCGAAGGTGGGATGGTGGGAAGCGGCAGAAGAAGTCAAGAGGAGAGAGAGAGCGAGAGAGAGAACAGGTACGTCTCCAACCTCGCGGCTGGCCTCCTGGTATTTCCATCGATAGGATGACCCAAATTAAGTGGATCTACCGCTAGAACATGTTTTTTTTTTTTTTTTTTTTTTTTTTTTTTTTTTTTTTTTTGTGTGTGTGTGTGTGTGTGTGTGAGAGAGAGAGAGAGAGAGAGAACAGGTAAGTCTCCAACGTCGTGGCTGGCCTCATGGTACTTCATCAGCAAAATCAAATGAATCTACCACTAGAACATGGAAATATACACTGCCACCTTTTTTTTTTTGGAGGCCCACGCGGCCTCAAATTTTTTTTATTTTTTTTTTGTGTTTCTTGACGCGACATCCTACTCGGGCCTACAACACCCCCCCCCCCCCCTTTTTTTTTTCCCGACCCCTAAATTTCCAGGTGCGCTGCATCGTGCGCTGTGCGTGGTGCGGCACACGTGCACGGGGCCGCGCAACTGAATGCGCCGCAAGTGTTGCGCCATACTAGCTCTCAGCAGATAGCACAGCGATTCTGTGAAATACACCGCAACTCTTTATTTTTCTCCTAGCTGCGCAGCACCTTTTCACTCATAGCACAGCAATTTTATGCTCACTTAGCGCAGTGCTTTAGCGTCTCTGCAGCAGTTTTGTGCCCTCTTAGCGCAGCAGTTTCCACACTTTGCAGCAATTCTCAGTCATAACCTAGCAACTTCCCCCTTTGCAATAAAATTTATTTTCCACGTGCCTCTTTGATGCAGTATCTCTCGTACCATGCCTGAGCCACGTCGGGGACAGGGAAGAGGATGAGGTGGTAGTGGAGGCAAGGCTCGCGAAGAGCCGCCACCTCGTGCAAGGTGTGAATTCAGTTCTAAGGAGGATGAAGAAGAGGTGTGAGGCTATGGATCTCATACACAACCATACCCGCGCCACTCTTTCAATGGTTGGTATGAGAGGACTCCATCGCCCACGAGGATGGAGTATTATCAGAAAACGTTTGAGGCGCACTATGGCGCACCGAGTACTTCCTCTCCTCCATCTCCCAAAGCACCGTCACCCCCATGACAAGCAAGGCATTAGTGCCTGTGTCATCACCCTCTATCCAATGTGCAGCTCCATCTCAGTCTTGTCTTATTAATTGCACTCTTTTTTGCATTTTCTTTAATTGCACTCTTTTTTGCATTTTCTTTCTCCTCACCTTGCTTCCAATAGAATTCATGGCAATCTTTTACATTCTGTACAAGCACAATATTTTGCCTTGAATTTTCTGACTCCCTTTTTTTTATCTCTCAGTTCACATCATACACTCCCTGAGGCAAAAGTTGTTCAGTTTACGTTTGTGCATCACATAGTTCTTTTTTCAGCTTCTTTTCTTTTCCTGGGTCCTTTGCTGGTCCTCGCACGGCCGGCCCGGGCTGGGCCACCCGGTCAAACAAGGTGACCTGGGCGGCCCGGCTGGTAGCCCAGAGTAACTGAAGACACAGTAACGTAAATCTCAGAACCGTCTTCTTTTGGGTGAGCAGACTCGGCACTCAACTCAGTGGTATTTCCTACATAAATCTCAAATGTAGAGTTATCCGTGGTCAATCTCAGGGCCTCGCCCCAAAAACTCCTCAGCAATTGTTGTATTGTGACTATGGTGCTTTTATACATAATAGTATTCTTTGAGGAAGAGAGATGAGAAAGAAGTCAAGGCAAATGATTGAGAGAAGAGTATAGCTTGTTTTTTTTTTTTTGGGGGGGGGAACAAAACTATGGTGCGATTTCATGAAGCAAAGGCAGGGTATCTCCCAACCATAAACTGCTATGGGAGAAGCGCAGAAGTGTTTATTTCTATATTAATTTATAAAATCAACGACACACCGGTGGGCAAATGGTACCAGAATGTTGGTGCTCAGAATACAATGCCATTTGCTATCGAACACTGGATATCTAGACGTCCTCTTGTCCATCAAGATGTCTGGAGTGCAACTGTCATTTGAATTTTAGAATTTTTCACTAATTGCTCAACATATCGAAGACTCAACAAATAGTCTGCTAAGACACATATGATCAAGGTGATGTGTTGGTAATCTTTCATTCACCTTGCGATTGAGATCGTCGAGCAGATTCTGCAGAGAAGCGCTTCCTACAATTTTCTCCGGCGTCACGTACAGAAGCTTGCATGTCGGATAGTTTTTCCTGGGACATGAAGACCACATCAACACATTGCCATGAACCTTAAGCAGTAAAGACTCACTCGTATTAAACACCAATCAACAACGGATCATTCACCATGAATTCATTCCTTTTCCTTTTTCAACTTCTCCTTTTGTTATTTTATTCCCTCCTTGAACTCCTTCCTTCCTTTCCTTTTCTGTTTTTCCCTTCCTGCCATGCAAATCTTCTCTGTATCATGATACTATCATCCCAATTTTAACAGATGTCCCAAAGGATACCATGAGTTCATTCATGCCTACAGAAGCACAGTACACAATCCATGAGAGAAGCTTGCCCAAAATACAGACAAAAGACAAAGCCAGAAGGTGTGCCACAGGAATTGAAAACCCCTCCTCACCTCCCCCTCCCAACCCACACCCTCTCCCACCTCTCTTCTTCCCACCTTGCTTACCTTCCATCTATTAATAACAGCTCATGCTTTCTTAATGATCTGTGTGCCGCTGTGCTTATCATGATTATACAAGACAAGCAATGTTTTCATTTTCCCAATTCAGCTCCTGTCAAGCACCCACGTGTCCATAAACAATGAACCAATCGCCATGAGTTCATTCATTCATTTGTACCATACCTGTGGCGCATCACGTGCGCGTAAGTTGCACACGCGCATGCATGCGTGCGCACCCCAATAAATAGGGTCAATTAAAAAAATTCAGAAAGGGCAGGCTGTGGTAGCCAAACGTGCCGCTCCCTTCTGAAAATTCTAAGTGACCAGAAAAACGAAAAAAAGGGCCCACATCGTACTCCTCATTGGAGTCGGTCTCATTACGGAAAGGCCCCCAGCAGGAAATAAGCAAGGGTGCTATTTAGTAACATAAACTCTCATCGAATTCTGGGTGAGACACGAGCAGGCCAGCAATATATGTTCTGGTTTCGAGTTCAGGCCTGTGTTCCAGCAGTTATGGGTTACTAGTACTAAATTCAGAAAGGGCAGGCTGTGGTAGCCAAACGTGCCGCTCCCTTCTGAAAATTCTAAGTGACCAGAAAAAAGAAAAAAAGGGCCCACATCGTACTCCTCATTGGAGTCAGTCTCATTATGGAAAGGCCCCCAGCAGGAAATAAGCAAGGGTGCTATTTAGTAACATAAACTCTCATCGAATTCTGGGTGAGACACGAGCAGGCCAGTAATATATGTTCTGGTTTCGAGTTCAGGCCTGTGTTCCAGCAGTTATGGGTTACTAGTACTTACTACTACGCACTACCGTAGCTCTCTTCTTTTTATTTTCCTTTTCTTGTGTGCAGTGGCCCTAAAGGCCTTGCTCCACTACCTAGTCGCCACTTGCACAAAAGACAAACATACGGCGGTGTATGGTTCCATGTTCTAGGAGAAGATTCATTCTAATTTTGCACATTTGGTGCAAAGCCCCGAAAATCACGTGCTGAGTCAGTAACTTAGTAACCCATAGCTGCTGAATCACGGACCTGAATTCCAATCTACGCCATATGTAGTTGGCCTGCTACTGTCCTGCTATAAGCCCCACGACTGCCTCTGACTTGGCGAGGAGGAGACCCTTGCTAGTTATCTGCAGGGTCTTTTCAGATTACCCGAAGGGGTTTTCGATTTATGTGAAATCGCTCTCTCTATCTCTCTCGCGTGTATGCACAGATCACGCAGCTGCTTTCCTTTTTTCTTGTTTTTCTTTTTTTCTTTTTTTTTCCTTTTTCTTTTCTTTTTCTTTTCTTTTCTTTTTTTTTTTCTTTGTTTCCCCGCGCACCAGCGATCAGCGCACCGTGCCATGCGCACCGCACACTTGCACCACAGGTATGATTCGTACATAAAGTGCAATCCCTGTGAGAATGCCGGTCAAATTCTCAAAACACACGAGATCGGAAAAGTCAGAAGATGTGCCACAGGAAATGAATCCTTCCCCCTTCTCTCCACCTTGCTTACCTCCCTGGAGCTTTACTCTGTGATAATCCTGACTATACAATGCAGTCATGCTTATCGTCTTCACCGCAACAGATCCACCACAAGAAACATAGTACAGACTCTTGTAGAGCCGCGGGTCACCTCCTGTCCACTGTAGCCGACAAGTCAAAGAGTTAAAGGGAAGCTCTCTAAGGGTGACTGTGGCGCACTTCATGCCAATCGACAGAATGGATGACGGGATTGTGAAATGCTCAAGCAGCCTGCTCCCCAAAGATGGCTGGCAGAATGAGAGATAGGAAGAGGGGAGAGAGAGAGGGGAGAGAGAGAGGGGAGAGAGAGAGGGGAGAGAGAGAGGGGAGAGAGAGGAGAGAGAGAGAAGAGAGAGGAGA